CCCCTCGCCCCCACCACCTCCCTATCCTCCTTCCCCCGCCTGGGGCAGACAGCAAAGGAACGGACACACTCACACTCACTCAAACAAGGACCCAGAGAGTCAAACTTTCCACTGCCCAGATGGGGACACTGAGGTGCTGGCTGGCATCTCGCCAGGTAGAGGAAAGCGAGATGGAAGAAAGACGAGGGGGAGGCGGCCTTGGGCTGCTAGGCCCGTGAGTGGCCCCTGGAATTTGGTCCTGAGCCTGCTGGGAACCTGCTTGGGCCTAAGCAAGGAGGTGGTTTCTCCAGGATCAGAGAGGTAGCTGTTGTGGAGTTCTGGAAGGACCTCATGTAGGCTCCTGGCCCCTGTACCCTCCCTTCCACCCCAGGCTTTCTTCCCTTAAAAACAGGGCCCAATCCGTCTGGTGGTGGCAGGATGGGGCAAGGGGCTCCCTAGCTTGCCTGCCGTGAGCTGATTCAGAGACGAAGGATCCAGCGAGTCAGTCTTCTTGCTTAATCTCTGCAGGTCCCCACAGAGAACCACTCTGTGGGTGGCCACTTCCTCTGGGCTCAACCCTGTGCCGGTCACTTATGGGGGTAACCAGGTTACCCCACCAAGTCTCGGCCACTTCCTGAGGGCCCAAATGAGTCCAGCTCCTCCAGTGTCTAGAGCCCAGGTCCTTAGTATGACACTGCTCCCTTGTCCCATAGTGTCCCCTTCTTCCCTCAGCAAGAGCAACTCCTGAGACCGAAGGGTAAGGGTTTAGATGGAGCGAGAAACTAAGATCTCCAATAGAACTAGGGGCCAGGAGTGCAGAAGACCCAAAGAGAAAATTGCATATTGAGAGAAAAAGCTCAAAGGGGTCGAGAGGGAGAGAGGGGTGGCTAGAGAGAGGCAGCATCCAATGAAAAGAGGACAATGTCGAGGGCTGAGGGTCTTCACCCCCCTGGCAGTGCCATTACTCAGCTGGGGGTTGGGGTCTGGGAGGTCCCAGGCCAGGGAGGATGCTTTCTACCGACATATTTCTCCATGAATGAGTTGGCAGTGGGGGAGGGAAAGAGGGCGGGACAAAGATGAGACCAGGCCACTGTGAGTGAGTTGGACGCTGAGGCTGGGCAAAAGGTAAAACACACAAACCTGCCGGAAACCAAGCCAGCCCCTTTGTCTGGAAAGGGCGTACGTTGTCTCCAATCTCCTCATTCCAACCACGAAATCAAGAGGCAACCAGGGTTACCAGCCCGGCCCCTGGTTTTCCACGTCTCTCTTCTCCCTGGCCCAGTCTAGAAGCTTCTTGCAGGCAGGTACCACAGTTTGGTCAAGGTGCCATGTGTCCCAGGTCCTGGCCAGGCCCTGAGCTGCCGCTGGTGAACAGGAAGAGGTTCTGGGCCCTGCCATGCCCCCAGGTAGAGCTCTCCTGGGGCTCTACCTCCAGGTATTCAGAGCTGTTTCACCCCCAATGGGTCTCCTAGAGGCTGAGGCCCTGAGTGACAGCTCCTGGGTTCTCAGTCCTCAAGCAGTGCAGGAAGGGACTGGGTACCAGCACCTTGGGCAGCAGGCATGCCTTGAGTGGATTTCTCCTTTGTTCTGAAACGGATTGACTGAGAGTGACTGTGCTTACCACACGATTTGCTCATTAAGCATGTACAAGGCAAGGGTTTTTATTTGGTCTGTTCACAGAACTGTGCAACCATCACTCAGTGGATTGTAGAACATTTTCATTACCTCAAAAAGAAAACCCATACCTTTAGCTATCATCCCCTAGCACCCACTGCCCACAAATCCGCTTTTTGTCCCCACAGATGAGCCTTTTGTGGACATTTCAAATGAATGGAGGGGGCTTGGAAGTGGCGATGAGGCGACACCCTGCTTGGGGGAGACACATAATGCATGCATCTTGCAGCTCTTACCTGAAGTTGGGGGCTGCTTCTGGGGGCAATACTCATATAAATACGGTCCTTGTGCCTGGAAGGTTTTGTGTCTGCGGTTTGCAGTCTGCAATAAGCCATAACTGCATGCCCGGCCCAGGGCCCACTGAGTCACTCGGCCTGGGCCTCTAATTTGGGGGCCACTCCCAGACCAGCCAGGCAGTACCTTAGTCTTAGGGCCTCCCCCTTCTGCTCCCCCTCCCACTCCCCCCTCCTCAGGCCTGGGCTCTCTCTGCAGCGCAGAAGCAACTTTGATCCCAGCTGAAGTGCTCTAGGAACAGTGCTTCCTTGCTGGCGAGCAGAGTGGGCAGTCGGGCAGCCTTCTGCCCTTCTGGCCTCTCAGGGCTGGGAGGAGGCAGGGGGAGGCAGGGGGAAGCAGGGGGAGGGCAGGCACCGGGGGCACAAGGCAGGAAGGAAGAGCAGGCATTTCCTGAGGCCCCCAGGGCTCCTGGGGAGGAGGCGGACACACAGCTGTCTTAGCTCCCCAGGAACCAGCGGCAGACAGGGCACAGGAGGTGGGGGAAGTAGAACCTGGCCCCTTCCAGCATGGCCTGTATGTGACCCTGGGATGCCACTGCACAGGCCCCCTAGGCCCTAGCTGGGATGCTTCCCCCAAAAGGCTGTAGAGGGCCGGAAGGTCCTGCTGGCACCAGCTTTGCCTTGCATCTCAGCCCGGGAGACCCCTTCTCCTGCTGGATGGAGCTGAGAGCTCAGTTCTCTCCACCTGACAAGGAGCCCGGCCCCCTCAGCTGCGTGGGGAGGGCAGCCCTGGGCAGCCTGCTCAGGCTTCCAGGGAAAGCTGTCTTGCTCTGGCAGTTGCCCCTGCACGGGGCCCCAGGCCATACTGTGGTCTCCCTGCTCTGAGCCTAACTCTCGTCTAGCCCTCATCAGGCAGCTGCCACCCCAGCCTGCCCAGGGCAGAGCCCAGGACAGGTGCTGGAAGGTAGCAGGTGGGGCGGCAGCCACGGGATGGAAGGATGGGACAAGGGCATGTCTGAGGGAGGGAGAGGGCCATGGAGGAAGGGGGCTGGGAGGAGGGGAGGCAGGGCGCAGGGATCTGAGCCAACTGCCATCTCCTTGGCCAGTGTGAGAAGAGGACCTGCAGTCAGCTGCAGCCTGTCCCCCACAGCTGGCTCGCAGCTGTTTGTGTCCTGTCTTCAAAGCTACAACAGGGAGGCCCAGGAGAGAAGCGGGGTGGGAGTGCCCAGAGGGCAGGCTGTGAGCCCTCTGGTCCCATTTGGGCATGAAATGCTGGCGGACGGTGTGAGTCCTAGAGGGCAGAGCCTAGGAGCCTGGGAGGCGGTCTCTTATGCAGGGCCCCCTACAGAGGTGGGCTGCTTGTTTCGTGATTCTCCAGGGTCTGCCCTGCTCCCCAAGTGTGTCCAGCGGGCCCTCTTCTCTGTGGGTGGCTGCTTCTCGAATCCTTCTGCCTGGACATGAACTCCCTCGCCCTTCCAACCTGATGGTGTGAACAGAAGGGCCCATGCCTGTCTTGGGAATGGGACAGAGAGACAGAAGGAGAGCCGAGAGAGCTGGGATAGAGAGCTGCAGTGGGCGAGGCAGACGGGCAGCACTCCCATCCCCTGGACCATTAGCAAGACCCTCAAGAAGCAAGGAGGTGAGGAGGTGACAAGTGCTATGCACCCATACAAGACTGGTGGGCAGAGAGAGCTTCAAGAGGAGGAGACAGTGCCCTGAGGCCGCCTTTCAGTCACTAGGGAGTAGCTCTTGCAGAGCCTCAGCCTCCAGGACAAATTCCCATCCAGAGACCTGTCACTCACACATCGAGGTTACCTCTTGAGCAAGTGACCCTGCCCAGAGCGGCCCCAAGTTTATGGCCTTGAGTGGGCCTCACTCCCAGCCTGCGGGCTTCGTCCGTTCCCAGTGTTGGCACCCTCGGGGGCAGACACCGGTGGGCAGCCCCACCACCACTCAAGGGTCTCTGGATGACCTGCAGCCTCGAAGTGACATGAAGCGGACGCTCAGCGGGGCCCTCTGGGTTCAGAGGGCGGGGCAGTCATGGAGGAGGCTTGTGTCAACATGCCCCGGATCAGCCGAGCTGGTGCTGAGTGAGCGGAGCCTCCACTGTATGGAAGCTTCCCAGTGCTGGATGGCGGAGGTGTGGCTGGTGAAAGCTGGCACTCTCCATGCCAGGAGCTTTTTTTGACCTTCCCCTGAGGACATAATCACACAGCATCTCTCCCCTCTGGGCCACCAGGGCTGTAATTTCAGGGCCTGCATGGGGGCTCCGGGGAGGCCCAGCCTGGGTCTAGCTATCTTTAGAGAGGCATAGTCTGGGGCGTGGCCAGAGGATGGAAGATGGGTTGCCTTGGAAGCCGAAGCCTGGGAGCCAGAGGCCAGGGGCACTCTAGGACCCCTGTGGTCTTCCCTCAGGGAGGCCAAAGCCCAGGAGCAGCACCGGGAGGCTCTGGCGGGAGTGGGGAGGGGCTGGGCCGGGTCCTGAACCCTGACTTCAGCTTGGAGCAATCTTTGGCCCAGATGCTCAGAAGATGGGGTGGGATAGCACTTGGCCTGAGGGCCAGACAGCTTAGCATCTCCCCGTGTGGCCAAGGTGGCAGCTATTATGGGGGTAGGGGGGGGACGGTGGCACAGTAGGTGAGATGCTTGTGTTAGACCGGAGGGAAGGCTCAGAACAGAATGTGGAGAAGGAGAGATGCGGGTCCGTGGGGGGCCAGTGAGGGGCAGTTGGAGAAGAATTTGGAGGCTGATGGGCAGTTTTCTGGGACTGCAGCTGGCAGAGGCGGTGCAGAGGTGCAAGGTCCCACCCAGGTCTCAGGCCGGAGACACAGGCCCAGCCCCAGGCAGGGCATGGCTCCCCGCTCCCATTCTCCACCCCTCTGAATTGTGAGCTGTCCCCACTGTCCTTACCCTCAGTCCCACCCCATTACCTCAGCATCCCCATCGCCATCTGAGGACTGATGAGCGCCTCCCTTCTGACCCCAGTCACACCTACCCTGTTGCCATCACTGCTGCAGTTGTCACTGCAATGTCCCCTCAGATGCCCAGCACTTTGGGGTCACCGATTGGGCTGCGCCCACTGCTGTACCCTCAGATGGAGCCAGCAGCTACCCCGAAGGGGAGCACAGTAACCACAGCGAAGGTGGGAGTGAGTGGTTGTTGGAGGGTGGCCCGTGCTGAAGGAGGGGCAGGTGTAGGGCCACGGCTGGGCTGCCCTTGCTCTTGGGTTGGGGCTCTGTCTAGAAATTCCCTTCCGGTGGCAACTAGATTCTGACCAGCCTTCCCACAGCCCCAGGGAGTGAAGCCCCCAGCCCTGAGCTCCTGGCCCTCTGGGGGATCCCCTGGGCTGAAAACAGCGCCCTTGTCCCAGTCATGAGGGGGAAATAAAGGCCCAGTCCCTTTGCCCCATCTCGGAGTGCAGGTTGGCTGAGGCCTGGCTGGGCCTGTAGGGTCGGCTGCAGCCCAGCTTCTCCCTTGGCCAGGTGATGACCCCAAGAGCCTGCAGGTACATTTCCCGAATGCGAGTCCCCTGCCTCACCGGTCGGGAAGGTCATAGGAGGATTAGCTCCCACCCAGGCTCTGAGAAGTGGAATTAACCACCTGTCGGTGGCCCGTCCGGCCCCTGCCTTCTTGCAGCTGAGGGGCCCCTCCCCTTCTCCTCCCCACTTGCCTCATCTGTTGGGCAATGGTGGGAAGCGGGCAGGAGATGTTGGGGGGCTCACCCAGCCTGCACTTCCTGTGCCTCTCAGGCCTGACCTCCGGGACTGTGAGAAGGTGGGGGCTGCAGGGTGACCTGAGCAAGAGGCGCAGGGACTGGGGTGGCCAGGCGGGGAGGAAGGGTCATGAGAGCTGGGAGAGTGGGGCCAGCGCCTCGAGGTCTGCTGACCTCTGACCCAGCCCAAACAGGAAGTGCCATATCTGCGGGGCCAGCTGGAGGAGAAGGAATGCCGGGATGAGTCCAAAGCAAACAGCCCGCAGCTTCCCAGGCCTCTCCCGCCCCCGCCACAGTCTGGCGCTTTCTCCACTGAGAACTCAGGGGTGGGGGCAGGGGTAGGGGGAATCAGCCACGGAATGGGAGCAAGGCGAGAGTCAGTTCCCAGGCCCTGGTCCTAGGCAGATCTGATGGCGGGGCAAGGTCCTTGCAGCGGACACCCTGTGCCCTTCCTCCTCTGCTCCACCCACATCCAGCAGCCCGGAGGCAGAGGAGAAGGAGAGGGGCGGCCCCGCCAGGGTGGAGGAAGGCCGGGGAATAGGAAGGTCGTGCCCAGATCGAGATGGGGGTGCTGAGGTGATGGGGTGGGATAGCGAGGGCCGGAGAGGCATACCGGAGGCTCACAAGTTAGAGGGACAGAGGACAGGGACACAGCCATGCGCTCCTTGCAGCTGGGCTATGTCTCTGCTGGGCCCTCTCCTGCAGCATCCTCCATGCCTGTCGCCTGGCTGTCTCTGTGAACCCCACCCCAGGGCAGTGGCTGTCGTGCTCCCTGCTGGTTGTGACCCCTTGTCCCTATCCCTTCCTGACACAGGGCTTGGTGGCCTAGATAGCTGTGGAGGCTGTCCCAGGAATCCCATCCGGTTCCCAGGGACCCCCTCACTCAGGCAGGCCAATGGGGCAATGGCCTCAGTGGCCTTCGAGGGCTCCACAGACCCAGTGTCTCCACCGGCATATCTGGCCAGTCTGTCTTCAGGGTTCGGCAGGGCTGTTGTCACTTCCCAGGGACTCCTGGCACATGGGGAGGTCAGCATGGAGGGCTGGCCTTGCTCAGGCAGACAGTCGGAAACTGGCCAGGGGTGGTCCCTGCCCAGTGCTCAGGGCGGGGCTTGGCTTTGCACAGACCACGTGTTCACTCCCCACCCTTCCCTGGCACCAGGTCAGATGGGGCACAGCCTGGTCTCACAGCGAGCCAGACATACGTCCCTGGGCAAGTTACTCATCTGTGAGCTGGGGGTGGGTCCCTGGGGACCTATCTTGCAGGTGGGTGTGCATGTTGGGGGCAGGGATGAGGGTTCTGGGACCAGGAATTGGGGGGAGGTGTCAAGGGAGAGGCAAAGCTGCTTCCCGAGAGGTGCCACTGTGCAGTGCTCACCAGCCCCTGCCTCAGGCCTCAGTGCAGGTGTGGGTGGCTCTAGGACCAATAACAGGTGCCCTGAACCTCCACACCCTCCTGCTCTGCCAGTCAAGCCCACCTCTTTGGGTCCAGGCCCAGGACAGGGATACTTCTTGGATGAGAGGGATCGGGGGCAGATGCTGCCCCAAGCAAGGTGGGGAGACTGGCCCCTTGATGGCCTGAGGCCAAGCAAGGACTTCAGGACCCTGGTGAGGCAGGGTGGGGGTGGGGAGGCTCCCAGAGAAGCCATGGGACCCAAGCCCTCTGAATCCCTTTGCTGACAGTCTTAGGTGCGGTCCAGGAACTGCATGGACATGGGAGAGCCAGGATATGCAGTGTAGCTCCTGGAGGGAGGGAGGCTGGCTGGTGAGCCTGCCCAAGCTGCATTTATTATGTTCAAGTACAAACCAGTGCCACCTTTCGCCCCTGGGCCACTTGCTAAGTGAAGGGGCCTCACCAGTCAATGTGGAGTGGGTGCACTGGAAGCAGTTGGGTCTTCTAGACCTTTCTCTCAGGGGTGCAATGGCTAAGCACAGCTCGGCCTGCCCCTCCACCCCCTCGAGAATCAGAGTGTGTGCTGGAGGAAGGCAGCAGGCAGGACTAGGAGCCCTCCTCCTCCCCCCGCTGGGGCTGGAGGACCACGCTGTGATAGGCTCGGATGCAGGAGAAGGCAGTGGGTGGGATGCGGCGCTGGTCAGTGAGGTTGTTCTCCAGGTGTATGGAGATGAGGTTGGAGTTCTGGGCCACGTGCATGTCACAGATGGAATTCAAGGGCACTTGTCTGCAAGGGAGGGGTAGGGCACAGCAGGGGAGAGAAGACCCCGGAAAGAAGGGGTAGGCATCATTCAAGAAAAGACAGAGACCCCTGCTCTAAGAGAAGCAGTAAGACCAAACCACAGAATCAGAACTGTGGAGGAGTGATGGCGGGCTTCAGAGACCACTGTGGCCTCCTGGCCCCCTCCCAACTCGAGGCTCAGTGCCAGGTCCCCAGCCCCAGCCCTTGTCACTCCGGGCTGGAGCCCTGCCAGCATCTGGCTGCCAGCTGCCCTTGGCTTTCCAGGCCTGCCAGCCACTGGGCACAGGCTCTATCATGGCAACCAAGACGGGTGGATGGCTGGATTGGGGGAGGGTGGATGAGCCCCGACTCCTGCCTTTGGCCTCTGTGGCCTGCGGGTAAGGAGCCCAAAGGCCAGCCTGTCCTAGCCCAGCCGGAAGGCAGGGCCTCCTGGCCTCAGGGTACCTCTTCCTCTGTGTGCTGGCAGGAGTGCGGGGGTGGGGACGGCTGCAGGTGTGGGGACGGGGAGGGGGGCCCTACCTGATCCTGTTGTGACTCAGGCCCAGCACCTGCAGTCCCTTGAGGCCCAGGAGGCCGTGTGGAATGGTCTGCAGCTGGTTATGATCCAGGAGCAGCTCTGCCAGTGAGGCGTGCAGGCCCAGGAAGGACACACTGGATACCGTCAGCCTGCAGCCTATTGTGGGGCAGGTGCAGGAACTCTAGGCCTGGCTTCATGTGTGCGAACACTTAGCCAGGGATGCGCTCGATGTGGTTGTGGTGCAGCATCAGGCGCCTCAGGCCCCGTGGCAGGAAGGAGGGCATGTGCACCAGACGGTTGTAGGACAGGTCTCCAGCTTCCTGTGGGGCGGGGCACACAGGGGCAGAGGGAGCTGACAGCTGGCAACTCCCAGAGGGGAGCTCCAGGGGCTGCAGCCCCAAACTCCCGAGACGAGCGTGGGATTCACTCTGAGATGGCAGCCGCAACCTGCACTCTCAACAGCTGGGACTCTCGCAACTCCTGTGTGAGTCAGGCCAGGCCCTGTGTGGGTTTATGTCCTCCTCTGTCCCCCAAGACCTAGGGATTAGAGGATCTGGGTGGGGGCCTTCCTTGCTCCCTGCAGGGCTAGAGATGCCTGCCGTCATTGTGGAAACCGAGGGACCGTCCTCTCCCTCACTTCCTTCCCTTCAGGTGTTATCTCAGGGTCTCCTGTCTCCTAATCCTGACACCTGACAGAGCTCAGAGGGTGACGCCTAAAATCTAGGGGAAAAATGGGGCGGGGGAACTCTCTGCCCCTGCCGGTCCTCAGCCTTGAAACCCTCTCCTCTGTCCCTCCCACTCTCTTGCCCTCATCCTGCCTCTCCCAGTCTTATCCTCAGATGTGTAGAAGCTAGATGAGTAGGGAGAAAAAAATCAGGCTCCACAAGGGTTAGGGCTGGGGGACCCTGGGAGGTCACACAGTCCTCGCTGTCCTATAGTGGAGTTCAGGTTGCCACCTTCAGCTGGGAGCCCCCGGTCGTTCCATGGTGGACACCTGACTCCTTGAGGCCCTGACCCCATCAGCAGGAAGCCCTGGTCCCTGTGGCCATGCAGGTGTGCAAGGGCAGAGGGTGGTGAGGCTTCTGGAATGGGTAAGAATATGGAGAGAGGGAACAGGGAAGGCTTCTCTTGGCAACACCCTCAGCCCCTGTGGCTGGGGTCAGCCTTTTGGGCTGCTCCTGTGCCTCTCAGTTCCCTCCCTTTCCACCAGCCAGAGAAGAGACGGGCGGCTCCACAGTCCAGGAGAGGCCGGGGCTGAGGCAGCTGGGGCTTGACTGGCCGCCAGCCCCCTGCCCAGGCCCCGCGGCGGGAGTGGAATAGTGGCCGGGCAGCCCCTCCCAGGCTGCTGTCTGCTTTCCTTTGCCCCCTTGGCAAGCGGGGGAGAGGAAAAAGGAATAATTAAACCCAAACGTCCTGGTAACTTTTTCCTGGAACGCGAGGATGCAGGGCGGGAGGCTCTGGTCCCTGGAATGGCGGGTCAGACTGTCTGTCGACCCCCGCCTCCCTCCCCACTGCGGCCCCACCCTGCTTTGGGGGTCATCCGGCCCTCCTGAGCCTCTCGCCTGTCACCCGGTCTCCCCCAGCCCACCCCGCTGTTCCCAGGACTGTGTCCTGACTCCCTAGCCTGACTTCCACAGCCTTGCAACATCTGGTCGCCGTGAGTGGCCTGTGTGCCAGCATCCCCACCTAGCTGTCCCAACCAGATCCAGGGAATTGCCCTTGACTTTTCTTGGAATGAGGTGAAGAGTGGCCCCCAGAACCTATGTCCGCCAGAATTTGTGAATGTGGCCTTATCTTCAGATGTAAGGATTGCAGGGGAGGATGTCGAGTTGAGCTCATCTGGGTTCCCTGGGTGGGCCCCGCTCCCATGACAGGAGTGCTTTTGAGAGACAGAAGAGAGAAGACGAGACAAAGGGAGACACGCAGGGGAGATGGCCACGTCCAGCCACAAGCCCAGGAACACCTGGAGCCCTCTGACGCTGGGAGAGGCACGAAGGATGCAATCCTAGGCCTCCGGAGGGAACATGGTCCCTTAACATCTAAATTGCAGACTTCTGGCCTCCGCAACTGACAGAGTTTATTTCTGTTGTTTGAAGTCATGCAGTTTGTGGCGCTCAGTGATGGCAGCCCCAGGACATGCACGCACTTCTCTTCCCCACATTCCTGTGCCCCCAGCCCTTCCGTGCTGCTTCCTGCCCCTGTCGCCTCCTAACTGCACCCATTGTCGGGCCAGCTCTCCCTACCACTGCTGCCCTCCATCCAGGCCCGTGGCACCTCTCAGGTGAGCTTCCTAGGGGCCAGCAGGGCAGGCCTAGGCACGGGAGGGCAAGGGGGATTCTGCTGGGTGGGAGGGACACAAGGAAGGCCTTGCAAGCTTGCAAGCAACATCTTGGAAGAGTCTGTGGTGACTGAGGGCCCAGGCTAACCTAAGCAGGGAGGGAGGTGACCCCAGTGACTCACCGAAGACCAGGCCCAAGGAACAAGTCCTCCCCTGGAGCCCCTGCCTCCTGGCCCTCTCTGGAGCTCCGCGTCTCAGCATTGCCCTCTCTGCCTTCCCCACCTGCTTCTCGGGGCTGCTCTGGGCCATCCTTGCTCTCGGCCTCTAAATGCCCATTGGGGCGAAGCTCTGGGGCTGCCACTCACGGGAGATGGATCCAGGCTCGGGGCGCGAGCTGGTGCTCCTGAAGCCGGTTGTGGCTAAGCACTAGCACGCTGAGGCTGTGGATGTGACTCAGTGCACCCTCTGTCACCTCCTGGATAAGGTTTGTGCTCAGGTGTAGCTCCTAGGGTCAGGGGTCAGGAGTCGGGGTGAGGGGCCCATCTGCCAGTTGTTGGCCACCTGGTCAGGCTCCAACTCTGGCTGTCCCCATTCTCTGCCAGCAATGCCCCCTTCCACCCAGCCATGTCCGTGCAACTCAGGTGCCAGTCTCTGCCACTCTTAGGCCCATGGCAGGGGGTGGATTTTCAGGGGACTGTATGGTCCAGAAAGAGGGTATGGGCCTTACTCAGAGACCCCAGAGGATGCAGAGTCATCCAGGAGGTCTCACTGTGGACTTCTGGAAGGTTAGGTCAAGTTGAGGAGAGGCCTGAAGCCTCGTGACTTTTAGCGCACAGATGCCCCATTGGCTGCTCCAAGCCCCCTCAGCAGAAGCCGAGGCAGGGTTGTTTGACTGTTAATAATGTTGCCTCCCCATCCTGGGAGCGCCAGCTCACCTGCAGGGAGGCCAGCAGGCCGCGTGGGATGGTCCGCAGCCGGTTCCAGTCCAGTCTCAGATAGAGCAGGCTGCAGAGGGGCTGGAAGGCCAGGGGGGAGATGTCCCTGTCACGCAGCTGGTTCCCTTCCACCTCCAGTGTCAGCACCTGGCTGAGCCCTGCAGGTGGGCAGAAGGGTGCGGTGAGCCATCGCAGAGCTCCTCCCGGTAGCTCCAGAACCCCTGCCTGCCCCTAGAGGCCAGGGCTCCTTACCCAGGCTGGCAGTCTCCTCTGTGTTCCAGCCAGGCTGCCCTGGGCACTCTCCCGAGTGTACCTCCCAGAGGGCAGACCCACCCCTTGCCAGCCCCTGTCCTGGGGGGCAGGTACCTGCCCAGGCCTGGCTCCCTGGGTCCCTGCCCCTGGAACTTGCCCGCACCACGGAAGCTGCTGCGTTGCAGGCCCTGCAGGAGGTTGTCGTTGTTTGAGCTCCTGCAGGGAGGCAGGTAGGGCTGGGACTGTGGTCAGCGAGTTCCCATCCAGGTTCAGCCGCTTCAGCCGCATCAGATTCTGGGGGGGCCATGGGGAACAGGTGGGCTGGGGTTGGGGGCCTGCTGGTCGGGGTACAGGCCTTCCTGGGCATGGCTTTGGGCCCATCCTGACCAAGGGCACTCTGTTGGTGGCATCATGGCTTCCTAGTTCCCACTGAATCCAGGCCTGTCTGGGAGGGTTTCTGTTTGCTCCTCTACAGGGCCTGCGGGCCTGTGCTGCTCCCCCTACTCCCAGCGATGGAACATGTCACACCAAATTGCGGAAGCCCACCATGCTGGGTGCTGTCTGCCATGCCTCCTCCAGGCCTTACCCCCAAGCGGCTCCACCCTGCAGGGAATGGATGCCTTGGGTCGTCTGGGACCTGCCAGCCCCAACCCCAGCCCAGGCCCCCCAGGAGCAGGTGAATGGGCCGCAACATAGCTTGAAGGCATGGGGGTGCAGGCCTCGGGGGTCCAGCTTGTTCTTGCTGAGATCCAGCCACTCCAGGTTGGGCAGCCCCAGGAACGTGTGGGCTGGGATCTTGGCAATTTCATTCTCTGTGTGCACATGGGGCAGCCATATTCTCTGCCCCCTGCCCGCTGCCACTCTGTACCTCCCCCACCAGACGGGGCTGCTCGGGAGAGCCAGGGTGGGAGCCCAGGTGTCGGCCTTCTTACCCCTGCCGTAGGGGTGGGTGCGGGGGGAGGAGGCCACCCACCTGCCAGGTAGAGTGTGGTCAGACCAGGGTCGGTCAGGGTAGGGACATGCTTCATCTTGACGTTGCCACAGGCGATGACTGCCTGGGCCAGGAGGCACGAGGCCGGCAGAGAGGGCATGGCCTGCTGGGTGGTGCCCAGGTTTGCGTGCCTGTGCCTGTGCCCGTGTGTGCTTCCTGGTCTTTTCCACCCACGGCCCAGGGTCTTGGAGGTGCTGCCGCTGCCATCCCAGCCTCAGCTGTGGTCCTTCTGTGGGCGCCGGATCCTTGGCCCAGGTTGATGGGAGGTCCCTGGAGGAAGAGAGACAGCCCCTGTTGGGTCACAAGCAACAGGGGCCTACTGAGGAACAGGGGTTTGCCCAGGGCTCCCAGGGCCTGCCAGTTACTCAGCCAGCCTGGGCTGGAGCGACAGGCTGCTGGGACCCCTCCCCTCAGCACCAAGGGCAAAGGCCCAAATGGGGCTCTGAGCCTGGGGTGGGGGACGTGACTTTGGAGGGCTTCCCTCCCACCCCGCACTCGAGGGCACTTGGCTTGGAAACACTGGGAATGGGGCAGTGTCTGGGTGGCCAAACTCATGCGTGGTCTTGTCAGTCCCAGTAGGCCCCAGGCACCACCTGAGGGCCCCTTGTCCTTGCCAGTTCTCACCTTTGGGGGGCCTCCTGGGTTTCAAGCCCCTTCCCTTGTCTTCCCGGCCTCCTGCCTTCTGGCCTGGGTCCTCCTCGGTGACCACTGCTCCCTCTTGAGCTTGAGGGTCCCTGCCGGCCTGCCAGGGCCTGAGCTTCAAGGGCCCGGGCTTCCCTGCCCCAGCCCTCCCGGCAGCTGTGGCCTGGGGCTGAGCCCACTCAGTCACCAGGCCCTTGTTCTGACCCTGCTCCTGCTCTGAGGTCACTGGGGGTGACTCCTTCCTCAGGGCCAGCCCTGGCCTAGGGGGCGCTTTCCAGCAAGTGGAGGGAGACTTGAGCTCCCTGCTTCGGGGTGGGCTGAGACCGCGGCTGGTCCAGCTGCCCAGCCTCAGGCTTGTCTGGGCGGCCAATGCCAGGGATGGGCTGCAGCTGACCTGCGGAAGGAGCCATTGTGGGCTGGGGGCCTTGTCTCCTTTCCCCAAGGGGCTGTCAGCTGCTAGCCAGCCCATCGCCCTTCCTCTTTAATCAGGCCTCACCCCGCCTTTCCCTTCCCTCCTGAGGAGCACTGGTGAGAGAACAGGGTGTCCCCACCATCAGCAGCAGGCCAGGAGACTTTGGGGCCAGTCACCCAGACTGCCTCTCAGAACTTATGCAGCTTCTCACTGCGGGGGCGCTAGAGGCCCATTAGGGCTAGGGGGTTGGGCCTGTAGGTTGGGCCCAGGGGTTGGACTGGTGGTTGGGCCCAGAGGAGCTTCAGCAGCCCTGAGTAGAAAGCCTTGGGCTGCTCAAGGGACCTTGGGTCCCACCTCCCCTCACTTCCCCAGTGTGTCCCAAGAATGGGGGGGTAGGGCATTGCCCCAGCATCCCCTTTGCCCCATACCCGTTGGTGAGCAGGGACCTCACATGTGCTTCCCGGGGACAGTTTCTGGGGAGATGAAGGGGTTCCTGCTACCTGGCACAGTTTGCTTTTAGAGGTGAAAGCCCCAGTGTCTGCCACAGGGGGTTTGTTGGGGATTAGGCAAGCCCAGGGGCCACCTGGCCCCTTTAGAGGAGCCACTTTAGAGAAGTGGTGATAACCCCAATGCCTTCCCTCCTCTACGGAGCAGCTCCTCCTCAACCAGGGCCGACCATGGGGGGCACTGCTCTGTCTGCAGAGGTGCGGGCCAGACCCACCCACCTGGCCCCTCCTGCCCTACCCTCAAGCCTGGGGTAGGGCCACCAAGTGTGGCTACAACCACTGGCCTATAAGACAAAGGCCACACTCATAGCCCATGTCCTTGGACCCCTCGAGTCCCTCTCTGCCAGTGACCCCACTTCACCCCCAAGCCCTATACTTCCAGCCTCCCGCGATTCTTCCTGTCTCAGGAGGCACTGGGGCAGCCAGAGCGACTGCTCCCGAGCACACCCCGACCCGCTTTCGGCCTCACTGTAGCGCCTGCTCCCAGGGAGGCCTCTTCCCTCCCTCACCCCTAGAGTCTGCACGCACCCCTCGCCCTCCAGCGGGGGCTCTCTCAGGGCCATGGGGCCCTGGGCCCTTTGCAGCCCCGCCTGAGTACCCAAAGTGGGCCTGAGGTGGGCAGCCTGCGGCAGTCTTCTTCCTGCTGGTGCCAGCGACTCACCGTTGGGGGCCCCTGGTGGGCTGAGCAGCAGCTGCAGGGTGGCCAAGCCCATGGGGGTTGGTGGGGTCCCTCCTGAGAAGCACCCCACTCACAGTGCCAGGATGGGGAGCAGCACACTCCTCTTGGCCGCCACGGAGGGAAGGAGAGCTGGGAGAGGCACGGTGGCGGCCACGGTAGGACGATGGTGGACAGCATAAGTTGGTCTTTCTCCCTGAGCTCCTGGCCCTGGCTGCAGCACTTGGAGCCTTCCCTACCCACCCCAGCCCTTCCCTGGGAAGGCCCCCCTTCTGTCGAACAAACACCTCCCCAGACCTTGCCCCCAACTCCCTACAACGTGCACTGCTCCCACCTGAAGAGAAAGACAGATAGCCCTTTCCTCAGACCGGGCGGTCCTGCCCTTTTGCTGTGAGGCCTGCATTGATTCTCCGCTGGCTCTGGCCCAGTGGCCTCCATGAATGGGGCTTCTGTCTCACACGTGGCAGGCCTGAGAGGCCCGCCACAGAGCCGGTCGGCCACCGCAGGCTGCTGGGCCCTGCATCCATGGCTGCCAAAGGAGAGGGGGTGGGTGCCAAGGCCATGGGCTTCTGCCGTGGGCAGCAGTGTGGAGGCCTCCGGGTTCCAGAGGAAATGGAATTTGCGGGCACAGCACAGGCGGCGAGGGTACACCTCCCGTGCCCGAGACCCCAGCGCTGCTTGGGCATGGGTGTGCCTCGGGCTGGGCTGGCTCCTGGTTCCTCTGCTTGCCCTCCACGTCTCTACTTTCTCCTCTGTAAAATGGGGTAGGGGGCAGACCGGATGTTCTGTGGCTGTCCTGACCCCATACATAGGAGCATGGGTGTTCTAGGCACTGCCTGGGTGAAGCCATGTCACAGGTCCCCCCTAGACTTCTTGGCCAACGGTCTGGGGTCTCTGATGTGCCTAAGCTGCACGCGTTCTCTTGGTCGGAGGGGCATCTGGGGGTCAGGATAGCATGAGGTGGAAAATGGGCGGGGCTCGATGAGGGGACTGCTGGGTGGGGCCAAAGGGGCGTGTGGTGGAGTAAGGGGCAAATAAGTGGATGTCTAGCCCCAGTTCCCAGAGCCCACCACCCTCAGAGGGCTGCCAGAAGTCCCTGCTCCAACCGGGGTGTCCCTGCAGCCGCATCCCCGGGTTCTGCTGTGGGAGCCAGGGTTGGGGGGAGCAGGCAGGCGGGGGCTGGCAGAGAGGGCTGATCTCACCGCCGGCTCAGCTCTTCAGGGCCAGGGTTGAGGAAGCTTTTCCTACAGCCCTGTCCAGAGTTGACTTAGGTTTGGAAGCGATCTTAAGAAATGAGTTAATTGTGGGCAAGGCTTGGGTGGAGGGGAGAAGGGAAGCAGTGGAGGAGGGGCAGGGGCCTGCAAAGGCCATCAGGCAGGAGTCTCCATCCTGGGGCAATGGGACAAAGTGTGAGACCCAGAGGGGTGCAGGGCCGGTCAAGGTGGGGAGGAGGCCTGGCAACTGGGTCTTCACTGGGCTCCTCGAGGAGCTGCCACAACAGCTAACAGTCCCGTAGGAGCCACACGGGGTCCTCTGCCATATCCAGGGCACCTCCGCCGTCCAGGGCTCTGGTTTCTGACCTGAATTTGGACCCTGCCACGTACAGACCAGAGACAGGGACCATCTGGGGAGTCAGCAAATGCCTCTGGAGTCAGGGATGAGGCCACCATCTCCTTGTGCATCCTGTGGGTGACATAGGATGGTCGTGGGCCAGTGTTCTGCCTGGGGGCAGCTGCCGAAGCTGGGACAGGGTAACACTGGGACACGGCAGACTTGACGTATGCCGCCGAGACTAAGTGAAGCTTGCCCCAGGATCCTGCAAGAGAGAGTACAATCGACCCCCCATTTTACAGAGAAGGAACAGAGAAGGAATGGGGCTCACCCAAGTCGACACCAGAGACCAGGCCTCCTGCCTCCTGGTCCAGGCATCGCCTGAGAAACAGGGTAGGTCCCTGCCCGAGGTGAGCCTAGCACCTGGGGTCTGGACACTGGACAGTGATGAGAACCCCGGCTCCTCTCCTCCCCCCGCCTGGGGATGGATTCTGGAATCCTGGCCCCCTACCCATTTCCCCTGTTTGCGCTGCTCCCCAGGCGCTGACTAAACATCCTGCCATCTGGTTCCCATTAGCTGGGCTGGGGGTGGGGGAAAGCCTGCTCCCAGGTTTCTCTGGCACAGCCAGCCCGGAGGAGGGAGGGACTCTGCTCCTACCCACCTAGGCAGGAAGGGGTGAGGCCTGGGGTCCTCTTGGTTCCCAGCTCCTGTGGAGGCCTAGCCTCCCTGCCCTTCTTCCTGGTTGGGAGCCTGGTGGCTGACCCGAGTGGGCCTCTGGGGAGTGGTACTCCTGCCACCCACTCAGTCCAGTCCCAGGGCACCCGGCCATTGTGCGGACCTTGAAGGAGCAGAGCCAGCCTCAGGGGCTCAGCAGAGCCAGAGGCTCCCAGCAAGTTTCTGCCTTGCCCTCCCCCCGCCCAAGAGCTCACTGATGGACTTGTGCTGAGACAGGCAGGCCCCAAGCCAACAGTAATCCTGAGCCCGGTGTCTGGAGCAGAGGGTGGGAGGGCTGTTGGGATTTTCCAGGAACCAGGGATGCAGCCCGAGGGTTGCTGGAAAGAGCTTTGGGCTCCCAGTTCTGCCATGGACGGACTGGCCATGTGACGTCAGGAACAAGCTTCCCTCCTCAGTGCCCCAGTCTACTCATCTCAGTATGGTGGAAACAGGCTCCTTAGACAGTTCTAGAATCTGAGAGCCAGAAGGGGCCTAGAGAAGCTGGATTACATGATCAAGGTCACTTCTAGTTGTACAATCCTAGGATTCTAAGGTCAAGGAAGGAAGTCCTGTCCCTTTTCCTCCTTCCCCTTCCCTT